CACATCCGCTTCTGCGGTCCAGTCAACCGCTTGTGCGGTTCCATTTATGCGGATTTCGGTTCCAACTAAACGCCAAACGGCCGCATCTGCGGCTATTTTCTCGCAGATGCGAGGCCGCTCCTGCGGAATTGCCTCCGCATCTGCGACGCCTGGAAACTCTGCCTCAAACCGCTTCTGCGATGATCCAGCCGCTTATGCGGCTCCGCTTCTGCGGTTCCCAAGCCGCAGAAGCGAAAATACCAGAAGATGAAAAGAACCAGCTGCTGCAAGGGATTTCCGCTTCTGCGGACAAGGGGCCGCTTCTGCGGTCCTGCTTATGCGGAAAGTGAGCCGCTTCTGCGACTCTCACTAAACGACCACATCCGCTTCTGCGGTCCAGTCAACCGCTTATGCGGTTCCGCTTATGCGGATTATCCACCGCTTCTGCGGTTCCAACTAAACGCCAAACGGCCGCATCTGCGACGCCTGGAAACTCTGCCCCAAACCGCTTCTGCGATGATCCAGCCGCTTATGCGGCTCCGCTTCTGCGGTTCCCAAGCCGCAGAAGCGAAAATACCAGAAGATGAAAAGAACCAGCTGCTGCAACACTTCGAAAATCTCCCCGTTAACCACCCGAAATCATCCCGAGGCCCCCTGGACCTCAACCAAAAGCACCAATACCACCTAATACCTTATTCAAACTTGTACCAATCCTTAAACACCTAAAACAACACCGGAAGTCCGATTAAATCAAAGATTCAAGCCTAAGAACTTCAAATTCCAACAAAACACACTTTCAATCAAAAACCAAACCACACCTTGCCCGAATGACTTGAAATTTTGCACACACATCCCAAATGACATGACGGAGTTACTGCAACTTTCGGAATTCCAATCCGACCCTCGGATCAAAAACTCACTATCGGACCGGAAACTTCAAAAATTCAAACTTCGGCATTTCAAGCCTAAATGAGCTACGAGCCTCCAAAATACATTCCGAACACGCTCCCAACCCCGAAATCACCTAACGGAGCTAACGGAACCATCGGATTTCCATTCCGAGGTCTTCTTCACACTGTTCCGATTACGGAACATTTTTCAATTCTTAAGCTCTCATTTAGGGACTAAGTGTCCCGAAACACTCCGAATCCCAACACCGAACGTCCCGGCAAACCAAAATAGCAGAAATGAACTTATGAGAAGCAGTTAATGGGGGATCGGAGCGTAAATTCCAAAAACGACCGGCCGGGTCGTTACATCCTCCTACACTTAAACATCCGTTCGTCCTCGAACGAGCATAGAGAACATACCTGAAGAAGTGAAAAGATGAGGGTACTGGCTGCGCATATCCTGCTCGGTCTCCCAAGTCGCCTCCTCGGCCGGCTGACCCCGCCACTGAACCTTCACTGAAGCTATGTTCTTTGACCTCAACTTCCTGATCTGCCTGCCTAAAATAGCCACTGGCTCCTCAACATAGGATAGATCCTTGTCCAACTGGACTGAACCGAAATCCAACACGTGCGACAGATCACCGCGATACCTCCGGAGCATCGAAACATGAAATACCGGATGAACTCCGGCCAAGCTGGGAGGTAAGGCAAGCTCATAAGCAACCTCCCCAACTCGCCTCAAGATCTCAAAAGGGCCAATAAACCTCGGACTCAGCTTTCCTTTCTTTCCAAACCTCATGACGCCCTTCATAGGCGAGACCCGAAGCAGAACCCGCTCACCAACCATATAAGAAACATCACGAACCTTCCTATCCGCGTAACTCTTCTGTCTAGACTGGGCTGTACGGAGTCTGTCCTGAATCACCTTGACCTTCTCCAATGCATCCTGAACCNTAAGTGTCCCAAAACACTCTGAATCCCAACACCGAACGTCCCGGCAAACCAAAATAGCAGAAATGAACTTAGGGGAAGCACTTAATGGGGGATCGGGGCGTAAATTCCAAAAACAACCGGCCGGGTCGTTATAGCCACATATCCGGCTTCCATGCTGGGATCAGCGACACATGATTGCTTGATGCTCCTCCAACTTATGGCTCCACTCCTAGGGTAAAAACATATCCTGAGGTAGATTTTCTAGAATCTCTATCTGACTGGAAATCTGAATCAGTATAGCTAATGGGTGCAGGATCACCTGAGTGATAAATCAACATATAATCCCTAGTCCTTTTCAAGTACTTGATTATATGTAACGGCAATCCAGTGTTCTCGTCCTGGGTTAGATTGAAATCTACTAACCATGCCAACATGAAAGCAGATATCAGGTCTAGTACATAGCATAGCATGCATGAGACTCCCTACTGCAGAAGCATAAGGGACCGCCTTCATCTTTTCTTTCTGATCAGTCGTTTTCGGGGACTGATCTTTCAATAGAGAGATTCCATGTCTAAAAGGGAGAAAGCCTTTCTTAAAATCTTGCATGCTAAACCTGGTGAGAATAGTATCAATATAAAGTTCTTGGGATAAGCCTAATATCCTTCACTTGTGATCTCGCATAAGCTTGATCCCAAGGATATGTGTCGCCTGTCCCAAGTCTTTTTTATTGAAACGTGAGGACAACCATTGCTTTACTGAATTTAACATGCTCACATTATATCCTATGAGCAAAATATCAAATATAATTTTATCTCCATCCCACTTCTTACAGACACAAGATTCATTTTCATATTGATCAAAACCGAAGGTTTTAATCGATGCGTCAAAATAAGTGTTCCATGCTCTAGAAGCTTGTTTCAATCCATAAATGGATTTCTTTAATTTACACATGTGCTCATTGCCACTTTTTATGAAACTAACTGGTTGTGCCATATAGATGCACTCATCAAGACTTCCATTTAGAAAAGCCGTCTTGACATCCATTTGCCAAATCTCATAAACGTAATGAGCAGCAATGGATAAGAGAATCCTAATGGATTTAAGCATAGCTACTGGCGAAAAGGTTTCCTCGTAATCGATCCCTTCTTTTTGAGTAAACCCTTTTGCAACAAGCCCAGTTTTAAAAGTTTGCACTTTTCCATCCACTCCTCTCTTTTTCTCATAGATCCATCTACATCCAATGGGTTTGACTCCAGTAGGTGGTTCTACAAGATCCCAGACTTGATTGGAGTACATGGACTCTATTTCAGATTTTATAGCATCAACCCATTTATCAGCATTTTTATCATGTAGTGCTTCGTCGTAATTAATAGGTTCTTTATTAGGCTCTTCAGGGATTCTATCATAAGATTCTCCCAAGAGCGCAAACCGAAGAGGTTTTCTAATAGTTCTCCCACTACGACTAGTCACTACAGGTGCAGTCTGATTTTGTTATTGAATCACAACATCATTTTTTGGAACTGAAGCCTCAATGTTACGGTGTTGGGATATCATTAGCTTCTTCCTGGAGTGCAGGCCGCAGAACAATTTCAGGTTTCTCAACAGTCTGATGTTGCTCAATAATCTGATGTTGCTCAACATTACTCCCTCTACTTTGAGGTAGTGAGATGTCAGGCAATTGCTCTTGTGCATTCTGCTGCCTGTTGACATTTCTCCCACTACGATAATGCAGTGGTATGTCAATACTGGCTTCCGGAATACGTTCCAGAGATGAGTCTTTAGTTACTCCATTACTTAATTCCTGTAAAACTAGTTTACTTCTAGGAATATGGTTCATTAAATAGTCCTCTTCTAAAAATCTAGCATTTGTCGTAATAATTACCTTCTTTTCTTTGGGACAATAAAACAAACTGCCTTTAGTTCCTTTTGGATATCCAATAAAAATGCATACTTCTATCCTTGATTCCAATTTATCCGCTTTCCCTTTCAGCGCATGTGCTGGAAAACCCCAAACCCGAATGTGCCGTAAACTTAGCTTGCGCCCAGTCCACAATTCTAGTGGAGTTAAAGGTACTGACTTTGAAGGAACCAAATTTAGAATGTAATTTGATGTTTCTAAAGCATATCCCCAAAAGGAAGTAGGCAAATAGGAATAACTGAACATTGATCTAACCATTTCCATAAGGGTTCTATTTTTTCTTTCTTCCACACCATTTTGTTGTGGTGTTCCTGGAGCAGATAATTGAGATGTAATTCCACAATATGATAAGTATTTAATGAATTCCGCAGATAGGTATTCACCACCACGATCAGATCGCAATGTTTTGATATATTTATCATGTCGTTTCTCCATTTCCGTCTTAAATTCATTGAATTTCTCAAAGCATTCAGACTTACGTCGCAACAGATAAATGTATCCATATTTTGAGTAATCATCTGTGAAAGTCACAAAATACTCAAAACCACATCTTGCTTGTATATTCATAGGGCCACACAAATCAGAGTGAATTAATTCTAGCTTATCGCCGGCGCTATTTCCTTTTGAGGAAAAACAACTCTTGGTCATTTTACCTTCTAAACAGGATTCGCATGTTGGCAGTGACTCCACTTTCAATGAACTGAAAGGTCCATCAGAGACCAATCTCAAAATCCTATTTAGATTTATATGACCTAGACGTAAGTGCCACAAATAAGTTTGACTCAATCCAGAAATACATTTTCTTTTATGTGGCAGATTAATGTTATTTAATTCTTTAGGTTATTATAGCACATGAGGAGATATATCAAGAATAAAAAGGTCATGTACTCTAGCAGCAGTGTAGATAAAACATTTATTAAACTTAATAACAGCAGAGTTATTAGCAAAATAAATATCATAACCAGCATCCATAATTTTCGAAACCAAAATCAAATTCCTTCTAATGGAAGGTACATAGAGAACATCTTTCAAAACTAAAACTCTATCACTACTAAACGAAACTCTAATATCTCCTAATGCTAAAGTTGGTGTTGGCTCGCCATTAGCTTGAAAAACGCAAACTTCATTCTCACTTAGCCGCCGCGTTTCCTAAAACCCCTGCAAAGTAGTGCAGATATGATTAGTGGCTACCGAATCTACACACCAAAACATGGTAGAAACAGCAGCTAAACAAGTTTCAACGACATTTAAATTTGAATTACCTTGCTTATTCAACTTTGTCAGATAGGCAGGGCATTGCTTTTTGTGATGCTCGAGTTGCTTGCAATGATAGCACTTTCCTTTGGCTTTTTCACACCAGCCGCACCTCCAGGTGACAAAACCTTTTGAGCCTTCTTCTTTTTCTTACCGCCTTTCGACTTAGTAACTGAAGCTTTCTCAACATTGAGTGCCACAACTGGAGCTTGTTGTTTGATAATAGATTCTGCCGCTTGCAGCTCATTCAACAATTTCGCTAGTGACAAATCCATTTTGTTCATATTATAATTCAAGAAAAAATTTTGAAAACTGTCAGGCAGAGTTTGAAGGACCATCTCAACTTGAGACTCCTTATCAATCACAGCTCCAAGGACCTCCAGTTCATTCAGAAGACTCATCATCTTCAGAACATGGTCCCTGACTTTTGATCCTTCATCCATCTTGGTGTTCAAAAGGGCTTTCATGGCTGTCTGCTTAGCCGCACAATTTTGCTCACCGAACATCTCCTTGAGACTTTCGAGCATGTCATAAGCAGACCCCATAGACTGATGCTGATGTTGCAAAACATTCACCATAGAGTCAAGAATGTAACATCGCGCCATCTCATCAGCCTTAAACCATTTGTCATAGTCCTTAACCTGATCATCAGTAGCATTTTCAGGTTTTTCTAGGCACTCCTCAGTGATTACGAATTTGTAACCTTCAGCAGTTAGGACAATATCAAGGTTCATTTTCAGTCAACATAATTCGGTCCTTCTAACTTGTTTTGGTTCAAAATTGAGGTATGTGGGTTGAATGAAGACATGGTTAATCTGATGGATATTCAGATTAAATAGATCATTAGCTATGTATTTAGAATAATTAAATTCAAAATAGCACATTACACATATAACCATGCTCATTGAACAGTTAGATTCGTTAGGGAAACTTAACTATTCATGCAAAATATATGAGTGATGTAAGATGTTTACCCCATAAATTTAAACAGGACCAACTCAGATGGAGAGTAAACTGTTAATTTAAGATAGGTAAATATCACTTTTATAAACTCTAGTTTCATTGAATCAACATGTAACTCAGTTGGAGAGTTAATACAAGTAATCATATAACTAGAAGCAAAACTACAGTAATCATCTATAATGAACTTGTCCGATGTGGATAAGACCTATGTCAACATATAAATTCATTATATTACTGTAAAACATGATTGGAAACCATGGGAATTGTACCCTACCATCACTGATTTCCTTTAAAAAAATTCTTTTATTAAATTTTTTTTCAGAAAATAGAAAAATGGCAAAAAACCCATCTAAACGACCCCGAATGCCCAAAAAATGACGCACATCATGAGCAAAGCTGATGAGTATTGCTCACTGGGCCGTTTCTGATGAACCTACCAAATTTGAGGTCAATCGGAGTTTGACAGAATTTCAAAATTCCAAATTCATGACCTATTTGTAGAATTTTAATTTTGGCGTTTTTAAGGGTTTTAATTATTTTGACTGGTTCAAATCACATAATATACTGATGTATGTTAAAATATGATTTCTGTCACGCCCCAACCTCGGGAGGCGCGGCCGGCGCTCAACCGAGTGAACCCGACTGAGCAAACCTATTAGACACTTTCTACCTAACTCATTATGATAAAGAGAATAGGTTATTATTAATTATATTAGGAAGATTTTGTAAACATTTCCAAATCGATTCATTTGTTACATTATTGACAAGTTTTCAAAATTTCATACACTTTACAATTTGAAGGAACAAGGGTTCAAAACACAACATAATACACTGACCCTTCCAATACCCATCTACAACCCATATAAATTTTTACGGAGCCTCTAAGTAGATACAAAAGAAAGTGCTACAAAAGTGCCAGCAACAAGGCCCCGGATATACCTCAAAATATGATAAGAAAGTGAACATAAGATACAAAAGATATAGGACCCCGAAATAATGTGGGGCTCGCCAAGTCAGCTAGAAATAGGGCACGCCACTAGCTGTGATCAACATTGTCTGCTATGGAACCACCTACATCCATTTAAAGATGTAGCGCCCCCGGAAAAAGGGACGTTAGTACTGTCGAATAGTACTAGTATGTAAAGCTAAACATCAATCTTAATAGAACGAACAATGAAACAAAGGGGAAGTAGTCATGATGTACAATAAGAGCTTCAAACAAATACGAAAACATCAGGTAAGGATCACATAGTTTCCGGTTCAATTTCCGTCTTATTAGGTTGATAATCTTGGTGCCATGTTCCACAATCCACGATACCACCATGTTCTTACACGGAGTCCGATCTCGACCCGATCGGCTAGGTCATCTTATTTGAGACATCAACCATATCCATAATTTCAATCGATCAATCCAGCACAATTACCACCATGTGTGCGGCATGGTATCTGATCACAGCACGATCGGTACCCAAAATCCGTTAAAGGTCGTGATGGCGCCAGAAACCACTGTTAGGCAAGCCAACACTGAATAGTTAATTAAATCCTCATTTTTAATATTTTTGAAATCATAAATCTCCTTCATTTTAACTAGTAAAAGATGAACTTTACATCATAAATAATAACGTTTTCAAATTTTCAATACTAAATATCCCATAATCATCCCAGAACCCGGTGTCACAAGAGCATGAGAATTTACTAGGAAATAAAATAAAATACAGCAACTGTCCAGAATACAAATTGGACAGAAGAGAAAAATGTAAATACTCTAAAAGAGACTCTGCTGGCTGTCGTACATAAGATGTAGCTCACCTAAGTCCCCTTATCAACCACGTTGTTGGGCCCACCAGGCCACTACATGTGTATATCACTGTACAACAAAATGTACAGCAAGTGTAGTTTGAGTACGAAAACAACGCGTACCCAGTAAGTATCCACTCTAATCTCAAAGAAGTAGTGACGAGAGGTCGACTCCGACACTTACTAAGGCCAACAATAATATACCAATAATATGATTAGTCATGGATTTTATAAAACGATTGTAAGCTCAATAACATGAGGCAAGTAAGCGATTCTTTTATTAATAGGGGATTTCCAATTTTGTTTTATTTTTTAACAATTTATATCTCAGGCCAATGAGACCACATCAATTATCAAAAATTCCCAAGCAATCAATTAAGTCATGCGCAAATCATGCCAAGGTCGTACAGCCCGATCCAACATAATATTTATATTGTGCACTGCCGGAGGGTCGAACGGCACGAACCATAAATGCATCTATTTAATCTGCCGAGGAGTTTGGCCCGTTCCACGAAAGGAAAACACATTCAAACAGTCAATCAAGAAATCATCAAGGAGCAATTATCCAAGGAAAACGGCAACCTACTTTTAACGGTCAAGAAAATGAAATTTGACCTTTTAGAAATTCATTTACCAAGTTCGATATGATTTAAGCAATTTAAATTGACAATAAGGTTACAAACATCGCAAGTATAGCATGCTTCTGGGTCCTAGTCTACCCGGACTTAAGCATAATAGTAGCTACGCACGGACTCTCCTCACCTCGTGCGTACGTAGCCCCCAAAAAAAAAAGCACATATTGAATTATTTTACCTATGGGGTAAATTCCCTCTTACAAGGTTAGAAAGGAGACTTACCTCGTCTTAAAGCCCACTTTCCGATCACAAATTCGCTCTAAAGCCCTAACTTGGTTCCGTTCAATCCAAAACTAGTCAAACAACGTACAAATTAATTAAAAATATACTCCAATGCTCGAAATTTAATAATTTAGAAAAATTCTCAACTCCGCTCGAAAAGTTGGCAATTGGGCCCACGTCTTGGAACCCGATGAAACTCAAAAAATACGACAACCCATTCCGATACGAGTTCAACCATACCAATTTTATCAAGTTCCGATAACAACTTGACCTCCAAATCTTGAATTTTCGTTCTTGAAAAAGTTTTGCAAAAATCTTGATTTCATCCATTTAAATCCGAAATAAATGATGAATATAACCATAGAATCATGAAGTATAATTACTTTCAGATATAGAACACTTACCCAAATCCATATGGTAAAAATCGCTTAAATCCGAGCTCCATAGCTCCAAATATATTAAAAATGGTCGAAACCTCGAAATATAGCTTCTACCCAGGTATTTACTCTTCGTGATCGCGGAAAATGGTTCGCGATCGCGGAAGATGCTTCACAATCGCGAAGCACAGCACAAAATTTTCCCTTCGCGATCGCGGAAAAAGCTTCGCAATCGCGAAGAACAAATGCCTAGCTCTTCCAGACAGCCTCTAGTATAATGGTCATGACTTTTTGTACAAAACTCCAAATTGCAAATGGTTTAACTTTTTGAAAACTAAAGTCCAAGGACTACAACCTTCATGCTTTTCTCATCTCCCAGTTCCTTATATATTATGAGATAAAATCTTCCAAAGTCAGCCCTATGCAACACAAATTTCTTCTTCGCGATTTCCAAACTCTTCCCGGGTAGGCCGTAGTGTAACACTCATAACTTTTTCACAACTCCAAATGCCAAATGGTTTGATTTTCTAAAAACTAGACACGAAGATCTCAACTTTCATTTTTGGTTCATCTCCAAATTCCTTATAGATTGCATAATACAAGCTTCCAAAGTCGGGTCAGTGCAGCAGAAACTTTCCTCTACGCGATCACGAAAGGCCTTCCGCGATTGCAAATCACTGGCCGATTTCTCCCATTTACTCATCGCGATCGCCACCAATTCCATGTGATCGCGTAGCACACTGCTGTAGCCAAAAACCAGCAGCTAAAAATGGCCTAGAAATGGTCCGAAACCACCCCGAAACTCACTCGAGACCCTCGGGACCCCGTCCCAACATACCAACAAGTCTCAGAACATATCACGGACTTAGTCGAGGCCTCAAATCACATCAAACAATGCTAAAAACAAGAATCACACCCCAATTCGAGTCTAATGAAACTGAGAAATTCCAATTTCTACATTCGACGCTGAAACCTATCAAATCACGTGCGATTGACATCAAATTTTGCACACAAGTCACATTCGACATTACGGACCTACTCCAACTTCCAAAATCAAAATCCGACCCCGATATCAAAAAGTCCACTCTTGGTCAAACTTCTCAAAAACCTTCAAATTTATAACTTTTGCCAAATGACCCCGAAATGACCTACGGACCTCCAAATCCACTTCCGTACGCGCTCCCAATACCAGAATCACCATACGGAGCTATTCCTAGTGATGTTCTAAACGTCAATACCACACAAGAGGGAAGGTGATTTGTGTGGTACCCAATTTTCGCTCTAGAAGAACATGGTTCTTCTAGGTGTACTAACTACTACTGTTTGCGGAATAATAAGTACATAAAATAAAGAACACAGAGATTTTTACAAGGAAAACACCTGGCTCAAAAGGTAAAAAAACCACGACCTACTACTCAGTAGGATTTTTCCAAACTTCCACTGAAATCACTGAGCCAAAAAGCATTTACAAAACTCTTTGTAAACCTAAGGATTATCTAATCCCGTTGTGGCACACAGCCTCAACTATTGCGACAACTTCAAGTTAACTCTAACTTGAACACTCTAGGTACCTAATACAATTGCTTCTATGAAAGCTGAAAGGTACAATTTTAAACCACCTACTACAATTGAACTAGAATAAAAGAAAGACACAATGGAACTGATTCTTCTATCTCGTTCAAGTAGCTTCAGGAGTGCACACTCAAATCTCACATAAATTGCTTGCAAAATCGCCTTGTT